GGATTAAAGGCATGTGTCACCACGCTTGGCTATGTCCTTGAACACACAGAGACTCTGCCTGCCATGTGATCGGATTAAGAGCATGTGCTACCACTGCCTGACTTCTGTTTATGGCTCGCTATGACCTCTGATCTCTAGACAAACTTTATTTATTAACATACAAGTAAAATATCACATTTCAGCACAGATAAAATATCACCACAGCTCTCTGGCCAATATGAAGCACTAACAGGATAAAAAATAAGACGTATGGTTACACAAAAAAATTAAAGTCAGAAAATTGAAGTTTTTACCTTATTGTATCTTTTTTTTTTTTTTTGAGGCAGGGTTTCTCAGTGTAGTTTTGGTGCCTGTTCTGAATTTCGCTCTGTAGACCAGGCGGGCCTCGAACTCACAGACGTCCGCCTGCCTCTGCCTCTGCCTCCTGAGTGCTGGGATTAAAGGCATGTACCACCACCATCCGGCCGCTTTATTGTATCTTTTATGTGCATTGCTGCTCACTTCTGTAAATGTTAATATTTAGTTTGTAAGAGCTAGTGTTTATTGGTAAAAAAAAAAAAATTGTTTTCTAAAAAACAGCAACCAGAATTAATTCATATTCCAAGACAGTTCTGAGTCAAAATATCTTGCCAGTATGCTTAGGAACAGTAAAGGAAACTTTCAAGGTTCAGATGATTAGGACAGAATCTGTCTGCTCGTGTTTGTCTCAAATTCTGTGAAAGAGTGAACATTTCTTGTTCTATGACCAGTCTTCTAAGGGATTTTGAACCCCAAAGTCAAGTCATTGTAAGTTCTCCGTTTTATTTCTTCAAAAACAAAGGGATTTGTATGTTATAAAACAGGTATAGATGAAGAATAGTGTATTGGAAGACTAATATGGCCAAGTCCTACCCTCTAAGATCAAATTTAATGAATAATGGTTAAAGACAGAAAGGTGAATAAATAAATGCAGATGTGGTGACATATGCCTATAATCCCAGCACATAGAATCAAGCCGAGGCAGCAAGAATGCCATGGGTTTGAGGACATCTTGGGCTAGAGAATTTTGTGAGGGCTTCTGTAGAGGGAGGCCCTCCACCCTGCCCCAGTGACAAGGGCTGAGGTGGAAGGAAGTTCAGTAGTTCGGATATGCACATGGCTGTGCAAAGAGCACAGCATAGAGCTGTCCTGCGTAGGATAGGGCACAGCAGCCTTTGAGACTGCTTCTCAGGCCCTGAGTGCATCGACAGGCCTGAAGGAAAAAGAACTCTTGATGATTTCTCTTAAATCTTACTTTGAAATTTAAGAACTATTACCAGTTTGGTAGTTCACAGAACTCTTTTTGGAGAGAGTAATAGGGTTTGTTTTTGAAGTCAGTCTCAGACACTGTATTCTAGTAATTTGTAATTTTTAAGGAAGATTGATAGTTCTTTTGCGGATGATTAACTTTATAATCTATTTTCATACTACTATTCCAAAAGTTATTTTATACATAGGCTCATACACTAACAATGCTAAAGGAAATTATTGGAGAAAAATGAACTGCAAGTATTTAAAAATCTGATTACATTATGGCTCCACCCCACTTTTAAGCAGACTTTAAAACTATACTTTTTATAGTTGTCTTATTTATAATTTCACTTTTTAATTAATTTTTTTCTTAGCTTTCTTTTAAGGGTTGGTTAAAACATCTTATAAGGGGAAAATAAATGTCTTTAAAAACATGTGTAATCCAGTGAGGTGTGGCACATGTCTGTAATTCACCATGTAGGATCATGAGTTTGAGGCTAGCCTTCATTGAGACCTTTTCTCAGACAACACCCCCCCACCCACCCACCCACACACATACAGGAGCGCACAAATGTATAAACCGTACAGGAGAAACTGGGTCCTAGAATAAGCAAGATGTAATTATTAATGGATGGCTCAACCTTGAGAGACGGTTTGAAATCCTAAATCAAGTCATGAATATCAGAATTAAATCAGTGTCTTATTTTCCTCCTTTTATTTTTACGGTTCTGTTTGAAGATTTATTTTTATTTTTTAACTATGTGTCTGTGTGTAGCTGTATGCACATGAGGCTAAAAGTGCTCAGAGGCCAGAAGAGGGTGTTGGACCCACTGGAGTTAGAGCTGGAGGAGTTGTGTGTCCCTGATACAGGAGCCAGAAGTGAAACTTGGGTCCTCTATATGCACAGTATCTGCTCTTAACCACTGAGCCATCTTTCTAACCCCTCCTTTTCTTTTTAAGACCACTAGTACAATATCAGTTAAAAGAAACTTTTCTTTGTTGTGTTTATGAAATGGTCAGAAAAGAGTATAAGTTGACACTTTCAAAGTCCTGCTTTATTAATAATAACTTCTACATGTGTAATCTATTTTTATATATACATATACATCCTCTGGTGTGAAACTTGATAATGCATACATTGAAGCTTCTTGTGGAATGCTGTGACTTGTAATTTAGGTGTGTGTGTGTGTGTGTGTGTGTGTGTGTGTGTGTGTGTGTGTGTGTGTGTGTGTGTGGCTGAGGATGGAATCCAGGGCTTCCACTCCTATTGAGTGGCATCCTCTGTCTCTAAAATGTATTTTTCTCAAAGATAAGGTACTAATAATTTTATTTGCTGCCTCGGTTTATTGGGAAGAACCAAACCTTTTTTTTTTAATCAAGAAAATTTTTTCATTCATTTTACATACCAATTAGAGATCCCCCTCTTCCCTCCTCCTGACCCCCAGCCTCCCCCTCCCAACTCACCCCACCAAACTTATTTTTTTTTTTTTAATCTTTGTTCTATGTTCTACACTTTTTGTGTTGTTTACAGGTAAGATTTAAAACTTCAAAGCAGAGTGTAAACTCTGTTCTCTTGGGATCAGCAGTATGACCTTAGAAGTGTCTCACTTAGGGGTTCTAATGATTCCTGGGGCTGTAGCTTCCTCAGTGAGAGAGAAGCTAGTCTATGTTTGAACTTGGGTGTTTATATTTCCTTGACTTCAACAGAAATGCAATGTCAGCATTTTTCTGTCAACTGACAGATAAATTTTCTATACGTTTTTAGTAGCAAAGAAGCTTTCAGATATATTAGTATAGAAAACAGTTTTAATGTGTCTTTTGCTTATAGGAAAGTTTCTGCACTTTTTTTTTTTTTAATTTGTCAGATTGTACTTTTGGCTTATTTGTGTGCTCCAATGAAAGGAATGTAACACTGTACCTTTGAAATTTTGTTAGTTAAGTTTTATTTACAGTTTTGAACATCTAATCCTTTATATGATGGAGAGCAAGAGTTTCAGAATGTGAGTTTTGTTTTATTCTAAATTGAAGGCTATAATTTTACTCGAGTGACTAATGTTTTCTTGAGTTTCCATGAATTGGGGAGAAATGTAGAACTTTTATATGGTGACTTGTGATAAGTGATTATAAACCTAGGTTTTGTCTTGTGTCTTAAATAACATACAATATTTATTCTAAGACAGTTGTGCACTAAGAAACTTTTTGTCTAATATAATAAAACTGAAATTATTGGAATTTTTTATAATTTCCAGGAAATATCATTATTTCTTGAAAATGATATCTATGACTGCTATAAAATAATCTGTCATCAAATGTTTTATAGGTAAACCCTTTTGAGAATTTTTGGCTTTGTGCATCCATATCTTCCTTCCAGTTACATATTTGGCTACTTAGACTAATTTATGTTGACCAAAATTGGGAGAGAAAAAAAAAAAAAACAATAGTTAACACATAGTATAATGCAAAATAACACTAAAGCAAATTGCTCATATTTATAGCTTTGCCTTGTTGACTGCAATAATTATAGCTGCAATAACATTTCAACAATCAGTCTCCTATCTTACATTTCTTTTCTTTTTCATGTTTTAAGCAATCAGGACCGAAAAGAAAGGTAAGCTTAATGTTGATGAAATTAGAACATGGGTGTAGAAGTTTTATATCAGCTTATATGCTTTGAACAATAGCCTAAATTGGAGTTTATCACTAAAGCTTACTATTTTAATGAAAGGAAACCTATTAATAGTACATTGTGATATTGGGTGTGTGAATAATGTCTCAGTATAATTCTCAATGCTTATATTATTGCATGGATGGTTATTACATATTTATGTAATATCTGACTAATTTTCTTTAAAAATAAAAATTTCAATGCCTTAATTGTAAAGTCGCATACAGTTAAAATCACCAAAATCTTTCCAGCAGGACGACTTGAGTAGGCTGAGACATGAAGAGCAGGTGATCAAGGACAGGATGCTAAAAAGCAAGACCTGTCCATAGCCTGGAACTCGCTATGTAGACCGGCTAGATTTGCTAATACAGTTTTTGGTTTTTTTGAGACAGCGTTTCTCTGTGTAGCTTTGCGCCTTTCGTGCAACTCACTCGTAGCTCAGGCTGGCCTCAAATTCACAGAGATCCGCCTGCTATTGCCTCCCGAGTGCTGGGATTAAAGGTGTGCACCACCACTGCCCAGCTGCTAATATAGTTTTACATGCTCTGTGAAATTGACTGGGAGACAGCTTTTTCTTACAGAATAATTCTAAATAAAATATGTAGATATTGCTGTCCTTTGAGAGTGGGCTAAATTTGTTGACTAAGGGGGAAAATGGTAGTTTTAGAATAGAGAAAACTGGTAAAGTTTACTTTAGGTAAGAAGCCAAGGTTGCCCAGGAGTGGTGGTTGACAACCTGTAATCTCAGTATTTGGAAAGCTGAGGCAGTAGGATCCAAGTGGTACAAGCTCAGTCTGGGCCACAAGAGACCTTTACGACGGGAAAGACAGCCATCACTGCACAGAGGAGCTGTCTTGGAGGACTGGGGAGGCTGGGAAGGTAGTGCACTCCTAATGCAGCAGTCAGGAGTGGTTGGTTGTGCTACCTACCCCAGAGCTGAGACTCCAGCCTGAAGACTACGGTTTAAGGAAAGTAAGGTTATGGGTGGTGATTCAATTTTCTCATCAAACAGAAATACTTTTATATAAACAAAAAAGATCATTCTTGTGGGCAGGTGAGGAGGCACAGGGATAAAGGTGCTTGTCACTAAGCTTGACAACCTGAATTTGATATCTTGACTGCATATAGAAACATTTTTATATTAAGCGTAAAGGCTTTTCTTCTTTGTTTTGTTTTTGAAGACAAGGTTTCTTTGTGCACCCCTGGCTGTCCTGTGTGCCCCTGCCTTCTGAGTGCTGGGGTTAAAGGTGTGTACCACCACCACACAGCTAAGGAATATTTTTAGGTCTGTATTTTAGTATAATTTATAGCAGCTGATTTTTCTTATTTGTGTAGGAAAACATGCAGGAAGATTTGAAAACCATAGCTATAAAGTCTAGAATACAAGCAAATATGTATAATACTGCAACACATTTTAGCATTGTGGGAATTACATGATATGTGTGCATCCTCATTAGCAATGCATGGTAGTACAAACATCAAATTCTGAAGAGCACAGTTCACTAAAGCAGTATATATGATTTGTTTTTCAGGGTGTTTATCTATAACTGTTACATAATTGTGGGGCATAATTTAAAAAATAGGAAGCACAGAATTACAGTGGAGATAATTACTATATTTGCATCAGGCTTTATTATAGCTATGTAACTATATGAAACATGAATATTTTAAGCTAATATAATATAGTTAGGAGCCCAAAACGTTTTTTGAGATGAAGTTTCATGCAGTCCATGATGACCTTTAACTAACTGAAACTGAGGTTGACCTTGAGCTTCTGATCCTTCTGCCTTTCCAACTGCTGGGATTACAGGCATGTGCCACCATGCTGGGCTAGAAGTTGAAAACATGCCCTTAAAAAAAGTTAATTTTGAGCATTTAAAATTTATTCTTTCACAATTTCATACATATGAAGTATGAACTGATCACCCCCCTCAATATCTTCCCATTTCTCTTTCCCTTCCTCTGAAACCCTTCCTCTTCCTAACAAGAACCTACCTATGTCTCCTTCCTTTAGTCCGTCCTTCCATCCGTCCTATTCCCTCTCCCCTAGCATTTAATTAGAGTTGCTTGCATGAGTATGGGTGAGGATTTCTTACTTAGGCAAGGAGACTTGCCATTGGCTATACCACTAAGATATTGCTGGCCTGCCGTTCCCCACTAACCATTAACTGCCTGTGGCTCCTCAAGGAGAGATGGGACCCCATGAGCTGCTTCCCATCCATGATGGAATATTGATGGGCCCACTGCTGTGAGTTCATGAGTGCAGCTGCCCTCTTAGAGCTAGAAAATAACATTTCACACCACTAATCCCCATTCTCCAGTTCTTACAATCTTCTACCATCTTTTCCACAACGTTCCCTGAGCCTTTGTGTGTGTGTGTGTGTGTGTGTGTGTGTGTGTGTGTGTGTGTGTGTGTGTGTAGAGATGTCATGTTTAGAGCTGAACACTCAACGGTCTCTTGTGCTTAACATTTGTTTTATTTGTAAGTCTGCATTAACTGTCATCTACTTCACAATGAAACTTATCTGAACGAGGCTGAAGTTAGCAATGTCCTGTGGGTATAGAGACATAATATTTAGAAGGCAGTTTGATAATATGTTTATTTGGCAAACCAGCAGCAGTAGATCACCTGCTATGACCTATGACCTCCCCAGTCAAGAGCTTTTGACCAGGTCTGTAATACCAGGCATGAATTCCCTTCTTTGCAGAGGACCTTAGATCTAACCAGCAAGGAGTTGGCTATCCCAGCTTCATTCATCATTAAACCAGTGGGCATGTCTTGCCTGACAGATTGGTATTATAGCTCACAGGTTCATAATAAGATAGGGTCATTGGTAATTTTATTCCTAGCATTCTAAGAAGATAATACTTTCCTGTACTATGAAAGCTAGCTTGCAGGACTTCTAACCCTTCTTTTTCTTTGGTCCATTGTCTTCATATGTCCCAGACTGACTTGGAACTCTGTGTATCTGAGATGACCTTGAACCTTTTTTTTTTTTTTT